TATCTTATGCATAATTGATGTTAACGTGTTGTAACTTCTACAGTTATTATGATACCTTCCTGAAGAACTACCAAGAGCTTGCAAAAACACGCAATTGGAAGCAACCACTGCTTGGTATGCATCATTTTTTGTTTCGCCTTGTATTGTAGCCTATATGCCTCGGATCTGAAAGTCAGTGTATTCAGTGTTCTAGGTAATATGGTGGTAGTGTTGGTATTTTAGTCAAGGTTGGTGGCTTTATTGCAGTTTCACTGTCCTATTCTGTACAAATATTGGATGAAGGTGTACCGGTCACTCCACATGACATTCTGGTGGATGCGCTTGTGTCCCCGGCAGGTGTTATTCCCATCAGCCCAGCAGCTTTAGACAGGTATGACTGAGTAAATCTTTCACTATGAGTTTATTTTTCTTCACTTTTCTGGGTGCAAATTCAGATATGTGTTAATTTTTTTTTTTTTGGTTATCAAATTCATACAACATATACAGGATGAGGCCTTGATAACAAAACTAGAAGCTTTCGTCTTAGATCAGATCCTCTTGGAGTTGGACTCTGGCTTCCCCTTGATCTGTTAAAGGAAATAATCTTGGTCTGCCTGAGATACAGGGCTCGGCCAGCGTCATCAAATGAATCCGCGAAGTTCTGGTCCTCTGGTACATCAAAGTTATTGTTTTTAGAATGAGGATGTTCTTTTCCTGTATTCTTCTTCTGCTTTTCTGCTGAACTATTTTAATTCCATGAGTTTATGCATCTGTCGAAGAGGTCCCATTTGAACTCTCAAATTAAGGGTACCTGACCTCTATCTGGTTTTTACATACTGATTGTAAGGAAGTTGCTTTCAACTCATGCAGTCATGCAGAACTGCTTCACTATAAAATACCTACATACTGATTGTAAAGTTATGAACCCCACATACTTTATAACATAACCAAAATAATCTTCATAATTGGACCACCAGGTGAATCATAAGGATATAGATATATATTTAATAATGAGTTAGCATATAAACAAACTGATTATTATCATTTTTT